GGACACTGAATTGGCCAGAGCAAAGAATGCGCGCTCGTTCAGTCGCTGAGCGAATGTGTGCAAAATAATGCTGAGAACTGACGCAATTTTTGTAAGTAAGACATGGGAATAGGTGCTCCCTCTCCTCCCCCCCTCATGACAGGCGGTTATGCGTTAACAATTCCAAGGAGGCGGGGGGCACCTATCCTCGCGTCATACCTTTGTGCGGGCGCCGGAGGTCGTCCGATTTCACGATTCCAATTCTTATAACGACCAATTCATCTTGTCAAAGTTTCTTTATCGGTCCGCAACTTGGGGGTTATTTGGGTGCTTTGAAAGCGAATTGCGACGACCTGTCAATTGAGCCTGACTGGTGAGCTCAACAGTGTTCACCTGTCGCAGTTCAAGTCTGCATCAGGCAGTTCGCCGTCTGCGTGTAAATGAGTCATTTCTGGCTTGAAAAGGCCCAAAACCGGCGTTGGCTGCAGGATGTAAACTTAAAGTGCATGCGTGAGAGCACGTCTGGGGCGTGACCGTGAGCTGGGTTCACACAAAAAATTGGTATACAGAGGTGCAAAATACTTTTAGTTTGGCTGCTGTTTCGTCGGAATCAACTTAAGAACCCCGGCATGTGACAACTTGGTCCTCAGGTCGGCCAAAATGCTGAAACAAAGCAGCAAACGTAGCCGAGGCGGTAGAGAATGTGGGTCCAAATCCCCGGTAAGTACCCACCTGTCGCCATATCGGCAGGCTCCAGTTTTCCAAAAAGGAGCCACAGAGCTCCGGAGTTTTTTGCATCTGTCCTGAATTTGTGGCCTGTGTAGCGGCTCGAGTCTGTGAAATTGGAGCAGAGAGCCGGGATCGGAAATCTAACAGAGCGAAATGAGCCTGTTTAGTGAGCTCGGGGCAAGATCTCGTTTCGTAGCCGTGTCTGTTAGGGGTTGGGTTTCGGCTGGGGCTTGTCTACTGAATGTACGGCTACGAAATAAGATACGACCGAGCTCGGCAGTGTTCACCTGTTGCAGTTAACGCCTGCATCAGACAGTTCACCGTCTGCGCGTACATGAGTCCTTTTTGGCTTGAGGAGGCCCAAAAAGGCGTTGGCTGTCGTACGCAGGGCATGAATGAGACCTCGGCGAGTCGGGGAGGGAGCACGTCTGGGATGTAACTAGGCTCACATAAAACGGTGGTGTAAAATACTTCTGGTTGGTCGGAATTAACTTAAAAACCAGAGCATGCGACAGCTTGGCGAAAGGGTGAAACAGTACAGCAAACGAAGCCGAGGCGGTAGAGAATGTGGGTCCAAAGCCCAGTAAGTACCCACCTGTCGCCATATCGGCAAGCTCCAGTTTTCCAAAAGAAGCCACAGAGCTCCGGAGTGTTTTGAATCTGTCCAGAATTGGTGGCCTGTGCAGCGAATGTGGCTCGGGGCGGCTCGGGTCTGTGGAATTGGGGTAGAGAGCTGGGATCGGAAATCTAGCAGAGCGGAATGGTCGTTAAAAGTCGGTGCGAAAAACCCACCTCCTCGATGCCCTCCTTTAGTCGCCTAAAGAGTTCCGCCTGCAACAATAACAACAACGCAGACTATCAACATCATTCGAAAGCAAAAAAACTGCCGGTGTAAAAGTACTGATTACAGGGGGGACCAAAGTGGGTTTGAGTTAAATGGACACCCTGCCCATGGCAGGATCGTGTTTTCGGGTAGAAAGGCGCCCATGATTTAAAAAATCGGATAACCTGTTTTTTCCCCGATGTTTTAACAGCAAACAAAAGTGTCTCGACAAAGAATTAAGCAAAAACCAAAATAATCAATCCAGAAAGTATGCGGCAGGAACTTCACAGGCAGAAGTGTTGCCTAAGTTGATTGCTCTGGTTAAATGAAGAGTGTGTACGCTTGCCCAGTCTTCCGGACGCCGAAACGGCCGCTATGGAGCAAGACGGTCTCAAGGGCGGAGGCGAACACTTCTGCACCTGAAGTTAAGGGTTGAGCCTGGTACTTCAACTCATGATGGGTGGGGTCGGCTCCTTGAGAGCAAGTAGAAAAGACCACGAGTACAGAGCAGAAACACTCATGCTGATTGCTGACGTGGCTGAAGTATCATGTGAATCAAGCGCTAATTAGGTTTCTGTTGCGAGCACATCCGTGACCAGATGCACGGAGCAGAAAAATCCAGAAGCCCTAAACTGGGGTTTGCTGCATCTCAGTGGCCTTTAAGCGTAAGATGCGGCTGGGTAGTCCCACCTGACAGACACAATACTGTTGGGGTTAGGGATAGGGGTTATTTTTAGGGGTTAGGGTTAGAGTCAGGGGCTAGGACAACTTTTTCTCAACCACTCAAAGTACAACCGCGCATTCTCAATAGCTTTTCTTTTGCATACCTTGTCGTCTGTGCGTTCCGCGGCCCCACCTGTAAAAAGCCCTATTACCCTCGGTCCCGTATTACAGGTGGCTAGGGTTTGTTTACTTCGGGTGGGGCTACATAGACAGATCTGGCTCAAAAGGATATGTCATAGAGGCCAAAAGACTCCGTAAGGCAAAAAAACCAGCGCCTAAAGACTACCGAAAAACGGCTGATCCTTTAAATGCCGTACTATTGTTTTCATGACTACTGTTCACTATC